ACATCAGTCTAACCTGCGATTGCATCAGTAGTGATCCAGCTACAGACTGTGTGAGCGGCACCGAGGAATGGGCATCAATAAAACTCAGCATAACAATCAAGTGAATAGAACTGCAGTAGTTCTACAGGCAGCTGAACAGGATAGCTAGCTAGGATAACTCTGCCTAGCAAAAGCAGTACCAAGAAATTACAAATAATACACTGCGCAATCACAAGGTGGCTAAATTCAGAATATTCCTTACGGATCTTGTACACAGGGACTGAATCTTTACGCCATAATGCATGGCAGGAAACATAACAAACAAGTTAAAACCAGGTTGACAATCACGGCTGAATAGAATTGCAGTATTTCATCAAGTAGCATGGCAGGTCAGCTAAGCTAGACTGACAATTAGGGTTGCCACCCGTTGTAAAATACAGAATCGTCCTTTAATTAACAATAAAATGTTGCGTCCCGTATTGTTCCGTATTTTCATAAATGTTCAGTACACATGTCTGTCACACACATCCACACTACGCCTAGCAATAATGAACAAAATAACACACAGGAAATAGTTAGGCCTGCAAAATTGTCCTGGCGGGATCTGAGCAGCAAATTAAATGTTGCTGTGGTGGGTGTCCCTTGTTTTCATTTCTGAAAGGTGGCAACCCTACTGACAACAAAGACCAAAATCGGCTATGACGGGTAGATTCTGTTAACTCAGCAAGGTCTGAGCTTTTGTCACATTGTAAGGGAAGGGAAACAGCCCAGCAAATGGAGTGTGGATAAGTAGGTGCAGGTTTTATTCAGGAGAGTGTGCGTGTGTGTGATGGAAAAAAGAAAAGGAGGGCAGAGGAAGGCAGCGGAGCTTTAGGGCAGTGGAGATTCAGTAGAGAACCCGCCGACTCCCGGCGCCTGCAGTGGAGAGCGCAGGAGGGTGTAGGACCAGGACTGGTGGGGCTGAACGACTCGAGCAGCAGTTGAATCCGGCCAGCTCTCAGGGTCCATTGCAAGACTGGGCTGGGCTTGGTGTCGCAATGTTGGGAGAGGTGCAGTCATTCGAAGCGCAGACAGAAAAGGGCACAGCAGAGGGTCATTCGAAAAACAAACGCAGATCAGCTGAGGTAAATGTGGTCACAGCAGAGAAGTCAATGGAAGGCTTGAATCGGTTCAAAATGAAATCAGGCAGGTAGGCCTCCAGTAGCTTAGAAATGACGAGATCAGTTTGTTAATAATGTCCATTTGGTGAATGATTCTGAGATGTAGACAAAAAAAGGAAAAAAAACCTTTGCACAGCACTAATTGTGTACAAAAACCAAGGAACTCATATTATTGGTTCACTAGGCAAATACAGTTCACTTAAAAATCCAGTTATACGGGAGCAAAAGGAAAGTTGAAGAACTTAGTCCTTTACATGAAAGCTATCCTTTACAGGTCAGAGATCCAGTGTCAGGAGGTACAGCTGCATGTTCGGAGTGAGTAGTGCTAACGGCAGCTGAGACCGTAGTTGCCGGAAGGAGGGTGTCTTATGGGAGATGGTACGTGGCAATTTAATACCTATGGAGAAAACCATATTGGACGGACAGAGGTATTTGAATTAGGGGTTTCTGAAAATACTTCTCCCAAACTTTTGTTTTAAAAAACTCCATTTATATTAAAATTAGTCAGACCGTTAGTTGGACGCAATGGTCCATTCTTATATTCTAAGAAGTATGTTTTTGGCAACGAAGACGAGAGAAAATCGCACGATCATGGTTGCTGGGGGAACAACTCTAATCAACTCTGATCAATGAGACGATCAACCATGAAGTGGGAGGATGAGTTCCCGTTCAAATTGATCGATGAGGGAGAGTCAGAAAGAGAGCTAAACATTGCATATCACTGCCTATGAGATCAATTACCAAGATGGACTTGACATACATTACTCTGTTACCATGATTGACACACCAGGTTTTGGAGACACTCGAGGGATAGACAGAGACAGACAGATCACTGAGCAGATTCGGACATTCTTTACCTCTGACCAGGGCATCAGTGAAATTGATGCAGTGCGCTTTGTAACTCAGGTTACAGACACTATCAAAACTAGCAAGCACTCACTGGCAGGAGTATAGCCTAATTAACATGCAATGGCTATGGCAATTACAACTTATACTACATGGATAAACTACAATTAATAGAAGCAAATTAAATGGTTTGGAAACTACTGTTTCGGAACACCAATGATAGTGACATCTAGGGGTGATGAATGTCATAAATAAATTAAATATTACATCCTATTGATAACAGCGAAAAGACACTGTAGTTGGGATTCGGAAAGTAGAACATTGCGAAAGGTCACAAACAGAAACCCAGAGCTTTAGCCATCAGACTATTTTGACGGATAATCACAGCATGGGGGAAAATGCATTAAACCAATTGACAACGCTGATGCATTGGAAAGGCTCAGATTGTGTCGAAACCTTAGCATAGCTGGTGCCTCAGAACAATTAAGATTGCTTCCAAAAACTGCACCGTTAACTGATGGTTTGAAACAATTAGTAGGACTGTCTGGAAACTCTGCACTGTTAATTGACATTTTGGAACAGTTAAGACTTTGTCTAAAAATTGCACCTTTAATTGAGGCTTTGAAACAATTAGGACTGTCTCGAAACACTGCCCACGTCATCAGCAGCTTTGAAACAATTAAAAGTGCTTGAACAATGCTCCGTTAATTGAAGCTTTGAAATAATTAGGACTGTCTCGAAACACTGCCACGTCATCAGCAGCTTTGAAACAATTAAAAGTGCTTCGGAACACTGCTCCGTTAATTGAAGCTTTGAAATAATTAGGACTGTCTCGAAACACTGCCACGTCATCAGCAGCTTTGAAACAATTAAAAGTGCTTCGGAACGCTGCTCCGTTAATTGAAGCTTTGAAATAATTAGGACTGTCTCCAAACACAAATGCAGCTGACTCTGAGGAACAATTAAGAAGTTTCGAAAAACTGCAGCTTCATCCCACACTTTGAAACAATTAAAACTGTGTGGAAACACTGCACCGTTAATTCACACTGAAAAAATTAGGAATGTCTTGAAACACTGACACAGCTGATATTTCGGAACAATCTAGACAGCACTAAACACTTTGCCCCCTGACTCATGGGAACAATGAATTGTTTCGAAACACTTGTGTTGGGGACATAGGCAAAATGTCATTACAAGTAGCCTGCAATAAGACACACACACACACACACACACACACACACACACACACACACATTTGTGAACGTCACTGCGATAGACATTGTAATACTAGTTGAAGAATAGCATATAGTAATTTTTGTCTTGGCTTCCGACTTGTTGGACACATTGGACCTCATTTATCAATTTATTCCTAAAACTGTGTGTTAATTTATGCGTAATCTGAAACGAACTAACAAAATCCGCCCTATTTTTCAAACTTTGATGTGGAATTCCGTACATATGTTGATTAATAACTATTACTCCAGCATAAACGAGAAGCGCGTTTCATAGATGTGGTGTTTAGCACCTGTCCTGTGATATTTTGACGCTCCAGGAATACCACAGGAGCTTGGAATTCCGTTGCAGACAACATAGAAAGGTGGCAAAGAAAAGATTAAAGGAAAAACTATCCATAGCGGTGATCAAAGTTCTTCTCATGGAATTCCAATATTAAAAATAATGGGCAACGTCACTGTAAGCTTATGCTTACCGAAAAACCAAAAACACGATGAAAACAACCAATAAAGTGCTTTAACTTTACTCATAATTACAAAGCACATTTAACACAGTTGTTAAATCATGTTGTAGAAAACAAACTACCGGTAGCTAACCATTGAAGCTAAATAACAACATCGAGATAAAAGTAACTACCCCAACTATAACCTACCCATTCTGAGGTAAATGCGGTGCTACAAGTCAGAACAATAACTATTTACAGTTAATGAACCTGTCACAATAGATAGGTAACCTATGTGTGTAGCTACTGTAAAATTCAGAGGTGATGTTTGATTTGCTAATGAACAAGGACGTATTGAAGCGGTCAGCTAGGCAATTAACATGATCTCGTCCCCCTCGACTTTAAAACGCCACACAAAAGCTATTCTACCAACTTGATTTGTTGAAGGATTTGTTAAGAACATTTTCCGGCATTTTCCAATGACTGGGTGCATTGCTGTCATGGCACACTAGTCGGGTGACCATATCAAAATGGTCCCAGATTCTATCATGCAAGCATCATCTAGTATGTATGATACTTTCCCCTCTCATTTCCACATTTAGATGTCAAATATTTTTTTTTACTTTTCCCCACAAAGGTATGGTCCTGTCTTCCAATTTATGGGAACTTCTTAAATGTACAAATATGTTTATAGGCAAGTGGTACACATTTTATCTTACAGAATTATACATTTAATTTCCCGAAACAGATAGTACTTCGAATTTTGCAGAACACTATACGTTCTCACGAAGATCTCAAGGTTATGTGTGTTATTTGTAGTTATTTAATTACTCATGCAGTGTCTTATTCCAAGAATACCCTGGTCCCAGCTAATCGAAAATGGACCCATTAGATAGGGGAAAATATAGGTTGTATTTCAGTGGGGTTTGACATAATGTTATCATGCAAACATGCCGTTAACATTCTACATGGTTTGGAACAAGTTATGTTACGGCCACAAGGAAACATTCCTGGTAAATAATGTGCAAGGAACATTAAAAAAATAGGTAAAAGTTTCTACGAATATTTTATTTAAGGTTCCGACAATGTTCTGACAACCAACAACTGTCAGCTGGGGTATAGCCTTCTATGAGATATTTCACTCAAAGTCTTAGAGAGGACCATTGATGTACAAAAAAAAAAAAAAACCTAACAAGAATTCAATCTTCAGGAAGGTGAACATTTGTAGTTATTCAGATAGTTTTTTTGGGGGGGGGATTTTTCCACTTTATTTGACAGTTACAGTAGAGAGGCAAACAGGAAATGCAGGGGAGAGAGAGGGGAGATGACATGCAGTAAAGGGCCCAGGCCAGATTCAAACCTGGGCTGCTGCAGTAAGGCCAAGGCCTTACATGGCATGCGCTATACCAGCTGAGCCACCAGGGCGCGCCAGTTATTCAGATAGTTGCCTATGTTTCAAATTACATCAGAAGCCTTTGAATATTATTAAGGTTATGAACTCCAGACAGCGTGTGTTTGACAGTTTGATTGCCTGTAACATTTAAACACCAACTCCACACATAATTTTCGTGATTTTATTCACCTTTTCTGTACTCACTGGGGCATTTACGAAACAAGAGCAAACTGCAACAAACATGATAGACAAGAAATAAACATTGATAATAATGAGTCATTGATTAAACACAGAACATAGTTAACTTTCTTCTGACGCTGTAAACCATCGGAAACGCTACATATTTGATCTTGTCCGTTACGTCAAGTAGGAAACGTGCTGACGTTAGGCACGTGCTTCGGTTGGGGCTCCGGAGCAGTGTGCCGAAACACAGCTGCTTTGAATGATTCGACACAGCTTCGGCGCCCCGTTTCATTTCGCCCATCTCTACTGAATATCACAGTCCAAAGCGTGAAACCAAGTCGTACAGAAAAGGACTAAAAAGAGAGTAAAAAGGGAATATGACTCTGGAAATTGTGGCATGAACCCACTGTGGAGACTGATAGGAGAGCAAGGATAAATGTGCATGTTTATGTTGATAAAATAAGCAGGGGCTCCATCAAAATTCTTTTGAAAGATTTATGGAAATATGACTCTAATCTAAGTTGCAAATATCATCACTCATGACACATTTCTCAATTTAGAGCCAAAAATGGCATGTGCATGATAGCCTACATAATGTATGTTTGAACAAGCTTTACCAATGTACAAAATGGGACTGGATTATTAAAACTGGTGACATATAAATATACAGTTCTAACAGCGATATAAAAGGGTACAGTTATTATTATATGTTTTTGAATATGAAAAATATATACTTGAGCAATTTAATATGTATCCTAAGTGACATTTTTCATCTAAATGGTGATCTCTTTAGATTATGCCATATACACGGACAGTCAGGTTGGCACTATGTGTGGAGAAAATAAAAAGGCTTACTTTACAGATTGTGGAGAACCTCCATTTTGTATGTTCCACTGCTTCATTTTTGGATGCAGTCTTGCAATCACATATCAATTTAATAATCATAGCAGATTAAATTTAATCAATTTAATCTGCCATTATTTATGTGTCTGGTTCTGCACAAAATATTGGTTTCTGTAAGGTGAAGGTGTAGCCTACCCACATATGCTGATAAATTAAGGAAACTATGTATGCATTTAAATCCTTACCAACAAAACATTGATGTTATATTTACGACTGTTTCCATATTGCTTGTATTCAGCATGGTTCAGACGAACAGATACGTTGGACGCATTGTTTATACATCCACAGAAGTAACTAATTTCACAGGTGGAGAGAGGAGATGTCTGTCACAGAGAGAGGAAGTAGTAAGTTTGAGCTACCTCTAGAAGTAAACGAGTGTAACAACAGCCTTATGGAAACCAAAGCATACTAAAGTGTCTATTGTGTAGAGATGGGCGAAATGAGACGGGGCTCCGAAGCTGCGTCGAATCATTCGAAGCAGCTGTGTTTCGGCACACTGCTCCGGAGCCCCAACCGAAGCACGCGCTTAACGTCATCACGTTTCCTACTTGACGTAACGGACAAGTTCAAATGTGGAGCGTTTCCGACAGTTCACAGCGTCAGAAGAAAAGTTATGTTCTGTGTTTCATCAAAGACTCATGATTGTCAATGTTTATTTCTTGTCTTTCATGTTTGATGCAGTTTGCTCTTGTTTTGTAAATACCCCACTGAGTACAGAAAAGGTGAATAAAATCACGAGAATAAAATCACGAAAAGTATGTGTGGAGTTGGTGTTTAAATGTTACAGGCTATCAAACTGTCAAGCACACGCTGTCTGGAGTTCATAACCTTAATAATATTCAAAGGCTTCTGATGTAATTTGAAACATAGGCTACTATCTGAATAACTGCAAAGGTTCGCCTTCCTGAAGATTGAATTCGTTGTTAGGTTTTTTTTTTTTTTTTTATTAATGGACCTCTCAAAGAAATTGAGTGAAATATCCCATAGAAGGCTAAACCCCAGCTAACAGTTGTTGGTTGTCAGAACATGGTCAGAACCTTAAATAAAATATTCCTAGAAACTTTGACCTATTTTCTTAATGTTCCTTGCACGTTATTTACCTGGAATGTTTCCTTGTGGCCGTAACATAACTTGTTCCGAACCATGTGGAATGTTAGAATGTTAACGGCATGTTTACATGATAACATTATGTCAAACCCCACTGAAATATGATCAGGGTCTTCTTGGAATAAGACACTACATACGTATTTAAATAACTACAAATAACGCACATAACCTGGAGATCTTCGTGAGAACGTATAGTTTTCTGCAAAATTGAAATATCTATTTCGGGAAATTAAATATATAATTCTGTAAGATAAAATTTGTACCACTTGAAAATATCATACGTACAAGATGATGCTTGCATGATAGAATCTGGGACCATTTTGATCTGGTCACCCGACTAGTGTGCCATGACAGCAATGCACCCAGTCATTGGAAAATGCCGGAAAACGTCCTTAACAAATCCTTCAACAAATCAAGTTAGTAGAATAGCTTTTGTGTGGCGTTTTAAAGTCGAGGGGACGAGATCATGTTAATTGCCTAGCTGACCGCTTCAATACGTCCTTGTTCATTAGCAAATCAAACATCACCTCTGAATTTTACAGTAGCTACACACATAGGTTACCTATCTATTGTGACAGGTTCATTAACTGTAAATAGTTATTGTCGTGACTTGTAGCACCGCATTTACCTCAGAATGGGTAGGTTATAGTTGGGGTAGTTATATTTATCTCGATGTTGTTATTTAGCTTCACTGGTCTGCTACCTGCTTTGTAGTTATGAGTCAAGTTAAAGCACTGTATTGGTTGTTTTCATCGTGTTACATAAGCTTACAGCGACGTTGCCCATTATTTTTAATATTGGAATTCCATGAGAAGAACTTTGATCACCGCTATGGATAGTTTTTCCTTTAATCTTTTCTTTGCCACCTTTCTATGTTGTCTGCAACGGAATTCCAAGCTCCTGTGGTATTCCTGGAGCGTCAAAAATATCACAGGACAGGTGCTAAACACCACATCTATGAACGCGCTTCTCGTTTATGCTGGAGTAATAGTTATTAATCAACATATGTACGGAATTCCACATCAAAGTTTGAAAAATAGGGCGGATTTTGTTAGTTCGTTTCAGATTACGCATAAATTAACACACAGTTTTAGGAATAAATTGATAAATGAGGTCCAATGTGTCCAACAAGTCGGAAGCCAAGACAAAAATTACTATATGCTATTCTTCAACTAGTATTACAATGTCTATCGCAGTGACGTTCACAAATGTGTGTGTGTGTGTGTGTCTCTTATTGCAGGCTACTTGTAATGACATTTTGCCTATGTCCCCAACACAAGTGTTTCGAAACAATTCATTGTTCCCATGAGTCAGGGGGCAAAGTGTTTAGTGCTGTCTAGATTGTTCCGAAATATCAGCTGTGTCAGTGTTTCAAGACATTCCTAATTTTTTCAGTGTGAATTAACGGTGCAGTGTTTCCACACAGTTTTAATTGTTTCAAAGTGTGGGATGAAGCTGCAGTTTTTCGAAACTTCTTAATTGTTCCTCAGAGTCAGCTGCATTTGTGTTTGGAGACAGTCCTAATTATTTCAAAGCTTCAATTAACGGAGCAGCGTTCCGAAGCACTTTTAATTGTTTCAAAGCTGCTGATGACGTGGCAGTGTTTCGAGACAGTCCTAATTATTTCAAAGCTTCAATTAACGGAGCAGTGTTCCGAAGCACTTTTAATTGTTTCAAAGCTGCTGATGACGTGGCAGTGTTTCGAGACAGTCCTAATTATTTCAAAGCTTCAATTAACGGAGCATTGTTCCAAAGCACTTTTAATTGTTTCAAAGCTGCTGATGACGTGGCAGTGTTTCGAGACAGTCCTAATTGTTTCAAAGCCTCAATTAAAGGTGCAATTTTTAGACAAAGTCTTAACTGTTCCAAAATGTCAATTAACAGTGCAGAGTTTCCAGACAGTCCTACTAATTGTTTCAAACCATCAGTTAACGGTGCAGTTTTTGGAAGCAATCTTAATTGTTCTGAGGCACCAGCTATGCTAAGGTTTCGACACAATCTGAGCCTTTCCAATGCATCAGCGTTGTCAATTGGTTTAATGCATTTTCCCCCATGCTGTGATTATCCGTCAAAATAGTCTGATGGCTAAAGCTCTGGGTTTCTGTTTGTGACCTTTTCGCAATGTTCTACTTTCCGAATCCCAACTACAGTGTCTTTCGCTGTTATCAATAGGATGTAATATTTAATTTATTTATGACATTCATCACCCCTAGATGTCACTATCATTGGTGTTCCGAAACAGTAGTTTCCAAACCATTTAATTTGCTTCTATTAATTGTAGTTTATCCATGTAGTATAAGTTGTAATTGCCATAGCCATTGCATGTTAATTAGGCTATACTCCTGCCAGTGAGTGCTTGCTAGTTTTGATAGTGTCTGTAACATGTAACACCAGCTCCACACATGGTTTTTGTGATTTTATTAACCCTTTCACTGAGGAACTGAACTTATAAAACGAGAGAAAACTACAAACATGATAGGCAAGATTTAAACCTAGTTATTACTGTGTGACTGCTTTACAACATAACATAATTAACTTCTTACAATTAAGACTGTCTGGAAACACTGCCACCTCATCTGACACTTTGAAACAATTAAAAGTGCTTCGGAACACTGCACCGTTAATGGAGGCTTTGAAACAATTTGGACTGTCTGGAAACACTGCTACGTCATCAGCAGCTTTGAAACAATTAAAACTGCTTTGGAACCTGCTCCATTAATTGAGGCTTTGAAACAATTAGGACTGTCTCGAAACACTGCCACGTCATCAGCAGCTTTGAAACAATTAAAAGTGCTTCGGAACACTCCTCCGTTAATTGAAGCTTTGAAATAATTAGGAC